TTTTTGATGTTGAGTGGTATGAGCTCTTTGTATATTTTGGATATTAACCCATTGTGTCATTTGCAAGTATTTTTTTCCCATTACATAGGTTGTCTTTTTGTTTTGTTGATGGTTTTCTTTGCTGTGCAAAAGCTTTTAAATGTTATTAGGTCCCATTTGTTTATTTTTGCGTTTATTTCTTCTGCCTTAAGAGACTGATCCAAGAAGATACTGCTGTGATTTATGTCAAAGAGTGTTCTGCCTATGTTCTTTTCTAGGAGTTTTATGGTTTCACGTCTTAGATTTAGCTCTTTAAACAATTTTGAGTTTATTTTTGTATGTTGTCTGAAGGAGTGTTCTAATCTCATTGATTTACATGTGGTTCTCAAGTTTTCCCAGCACCACTGTTGAAGAGACTGTGTTTTCTCCATTGTATAGTCTTGCCTCCTTTGCCATAGATTGATTCACCATTGGTACATGGGTTTATTTCTGTGCTCTCTATTCTGTTCCATTGATCTGTGTGTCTGTTCTTTGTGACATTATCATGCTCTTTTGATTACTGTAGCTTTATAATATAGTCTGAAATCTGGGAGGGTTATACCTCCAGTTCTGTTGTTTTTTCTCAGGATTGCTTTGGCAATTTTGGGTCTTTTGTAGTTCCATATAAATTTTAGGATTATTTATTCTAGTTTGGTGAAAAATGTCAAGGGTATTTTGATAGAGATTGCATTAAATCTGTTGCTTTGGATAGTATGCCCACTTTAATAATAATAATTCTTCCAATTCAAAAGCATGGAATATCTTTCCATTTTTTTGAATCTTCAGTTTCCTTCATCATTGTTTTATAGTTTTCAGAGTATAGGTCTTTCACCTTGGGTAAGTTTATTCCTAGATATTTCTTTGGATGCAATTTTAAATAGGATTATTATTATTATTATTTATTTTACTTTCTCTTTCTGGTATTTCAGTATTAGTATATAGAAATACAACATTTCTGCATATTAATCTTGCATTCTGAAACCCTGCTGAATTAATTTATTCTAACAGTTGTTGGGTGGAGACTTTAGAGTTCTCTTTATAAAGTATCATGTCACCTGCAAATAGTGACAGTTTTACCTCTTCCCTTACAATTTGCATACCTTTTTTTTTTCCTTTTTCTTACCTGATTGCTGTGGCTAGAACATCTGATACTATCTGATACCATGTTAATAGAAGCATCAAGAGTGGACATCCTTGGCTTGTTTCTGAATTTAGCAGGAAAGCTTTCAGCTGTCACTGTTGAGTATTATGTTGGCTATGCATTTGTCATAAATGGCCTTTATTATGTTGAGATATGTTCCCTCCATACCTACTTTAATGAGAGTTTTATCATGAGTGGGTGGTAGATTTTGTCAAAGACTTTTTCTGTATTTATTGAGATGGTCATGTGATTTTTATCTTTCCTTTTGCTAATGTGGTGTATCAAATTGATTGATTTGTGTATGTTGAGCCATCCTTGTGACCCTGAAATAAATCCAGCTTGATCATGGTGTGTGATTCTTTTTATGTTTTGTTAGATTTGGTTTGAAAATATTTTGTTGAGGATTTTTGCATGTGTATTATCC